AAAACAAACGAGCTGGAAAAACGAAACAAACAACACGAGAGGCAACTTCATTAGAAACTGCCTAGACAATAAAAGCATTCACTACAAAACAACCTTATACAGCTCCGAGCTACTCTCTTACCCAAAATTTCAAAGCCTACGTCCAAATAACACCCTCAAAACCTCAGCCTATGACAGTGACCATAACGCCCTAATATTTCACGTAAGGAAGAACACATCTGACCTCCTAACACTCGAAACACTGACCGAGATACCCAGGTACAACTACAAAAAGACAGACTGGAAAAAGTTCCAAAACATACTCGAACAAAACTGTGACCTAAAGATCTACAACAACGTCAACCTAACAAACAGACAAATCGCCTCATTCATAGACGAAATAGAAAACATACACAAATCGCTCTCCAAAAATCTGTGCCAAACATAAAACAAAAAAATTCATGCGAGCCCTATATCAACAATAAAATAAACCCCTATATCAACAACAAAATAAAAGAACTACATCGAGACAAAAGCTACATAATCTCCAAGATAAACAACATAAAACTTAACTATTCTTACGACAAAAGAGAAGAATTGGAATTCCTAAAGTACCTACTATACAAAATAAAAGCGCAAATGAAACAAGAATTCGCTAACTCTATAAACCATTACTGGACAAATAAAATAAAAAACATCTCCAAATACGACTCAGCCAACATGTTCCCACAAATAAATCAAATCTTCAGACCAAAAGGACAAAACCCCATCCCACCTCTCAAATTGCCCCCAGAAAAAAACTCCCTCATCCAAGAAGCAGGTATAACGATACACAACACCATCAAAGACACCGAGGGTAACTTCATAATAACTAAAACAAGAGAAAAACTAGCCATTATCGGCACCCACTTTTCCAAAATACACACACAAAATGAACACATAGGCCGAGATCAACTAAACAGAATTATCATCGCCGAAACAAACAAACTCAAAAATGAAATGGAACAAGACAAAACGCTAAACAAAACAGTCTGCACATTGTCAAACGAAAACACCGCAGACAGCCCCAAACAACCAGATCCAGAAATAAACTACTTCACAAATTAAAATCAACTAAACACAATCAGTTCTGCCCGAGCAGTCGAACTATGCGGACGTAAAAACTAGTGCCTCCGACATTGTGCGACAAGAGTAGAGATTTACCCAAGCGCCTACCGAACAAAATAAAATGGTATTACACAGTACTCTTCAACAATGCACTAAACAACACATATTTCGCCAGAAAATGGAAAAAAGCCAAATGCCAAACTGATAGCTATTACAAAAAAAGATAAAGACGGCTCATCGCCCGCAAACCTACGACCCATAAGTCTCCTCCCCAACATAAGCAAAGTATTTGAAATAATCATAAACAACCCACTAACCTCCTTCTGCACAAAAACTGACATAATCCCAGAAAATCAATTTGGCTTCAGGCACAAACACTCCGCAATTCACGCAATAAACGAACTTACGTCAGACATTTGCTGAGCCCTAAACGCAAAACAACGAGTAGCCGCCTGCTTAATAGCAGCTTAATAGCTCGAAAAAGCTTTCGACACAGTCTGGATCCCAGGTCTCATATACAAATTGATTAAGAAAAACCTTCCTGAACACCTAATTAAAATAGTCTGGGACATGATCACAAGCAGAACATTCGTAATAACCGAAGGTTTAAACACATCAAGCAAAGAATTCTCCATAACAAACGGTCTGCAACAAGGTACAGTAAATTCCCCGCTACTTTTCAATATTTACAACAGTGACTTACTAAATTTCTTTAATCTCAATACATCCACCCACAAACGCTCCATAGCCTTCGCAAATGACCTAATCATCTACGTAACAGGCCGCAAAACTAAGACAATAAAAACTGAACTGCAAGAACTTTTCGAAAAAATAAACAACTATTACCACGCATGGAAACTAAAAATCAACACAAGCAAATTCAGACCCAATCAGAAATCGGCCCAACAGAAAGAGAACACTGCAGAAAATTCCAACTAAGAGAAAAGGCAAACAAAGGGGCACTCATACCACACAAAGACTGCGTAAAATACCTAGGAGTAAACATAAACTTCAAATTAAACTACAAGCAGCACACCGAACCTCAACTTGCTAAGGCCAATAAAGCATCTTGGAGAATAAAAAAACTATTCTACTCCAAACATCTCGACAGCAAAGTAAAAATACTATGCTACCAAGCACTAATCAGACCGATCATTACCTACGGCTGCCCAATCTGGCACAACATATCAACCTCCCAGATGGAAAAAATCTGCATATTCGAAAGAAAATGCATCAGGGCTTGCTTGAGTACTTACAGATCCGAACACAGCGGATTCAAAAAATATGTAAAAAACAAAACAATATACCATCTAGCCAACATTCACCGCATAGACTGTCACATCCTAAAGCTAATAAGAAACAACTTCGCGCAAGCGGCAAAAATAAAAGAAAACAACTTAATCTTCAGTTACCTATTTCCTAACAACGCATATTACAAAAACACTCTGATAACAAGCCACATCCTCCCAGAAGCTTTCCTACACCTAGACGAAAAAAATACCTCTAGGACCAAAACAACATCCCAATAAGTTATCACATAAAAAGAAAAATAGGGATCAAAACAAGACTCTACGAAGAAAACATAAATGGACAGACCGCAGACACCAGATGGAGATACAACATGGCCCGCCCCCGGAAAGACACCAAAGACAAATACAGAAAAAACACAAAAAAATACTGGTGGATACAGAACCCATAATAAAATAAGAGAGAACATTAAACCGACAGAACTCAATTCTGACATCTCATAACACAGGTCTAAACTGTAAATACTGTAAATGTTTGTAAATAAACCTATTTGACATCTCCCTCCCCCTCTCTCTCCCTCTCAACCCACCCCTCCCCAAAGTGACACAGCACCCAAAAAGCAGACTACCGAAGCGTCCTGTTTTGCGACCAAGTTTTCAGGACAGAAAAAAATAAAAAAAAATACATAAAAAAAACTCCGCTCCCCGGCGGTTAAACCCAAAAATTGTATTATACAACGAAAAATGTAAAGCACCGACACATAATACAGCATGGCTACATCATACCGCCGCGTATCGGTACCTTTGCCTACCATATCATTACAAAAATTCACCGTTTATTGTGAATATGTATTTAAAACTGTATTCTTGGGCTCAATAAATAACTTTAAATCGCAAAAAAAAAACACCTCCAGGGCGATCCGCGGATTCCAACCGCCAACACCAGAGGGCTGTTACGACGACAAAGAGTCTGTCTGTCTCACTAGCGGTCGAATGTACGGTGTCACGATACAAATACCGCACCCAGCTAGACTCCCTCTACGCCTAAGGCAGGGACTATTGGGTATAGCCTTACTGACGAGTCCACCGGTAGTCCCGGGACGAGACGCTCATTTTCTTTTCACACGGCAGGGCCATAACGCTGCCAAAGACCTATAGAATAGTGGTGGTTTAGAATCGAGACACAAAAGGGACATGGAAAGAAATAGAGGAAAGAGTAGATGGAAGAGAAGAGGAAGTAACGATCATAGGAGGAGATTGGAATGCAAGAACGGGAGAAGAGGGAGGACTGATAAACGAGAAACTAGGAAAAGAGAAAAGCAGGAGATCGAAAGACAAGACAATAAATACGGAAGGAAGAATTCTATTAAAGTATCTGGACGAAAGAGGCTGGACGATAATTAATGGTCGATGCAAAGAAGGAGAGATGTGGGGGAGAGAGGAAACTCGGTAATAGATTGGCAATGTGGTGGTTGGCAATCAGGAGGCGATAGAAGAAATAATAGACATGATGGTAGGAAAAAGAATAAAGTCAGAGCACATGCCGTTGGAAATAGAAATAGAGGGACCAGAGATACAAAGAGATGAGGAAAGAAAAGAAGAAGAGAAGGAGAGGAGGGAATGGACAAACGAAAGTGTGGGAAGATATTTAGAGGAGTGTAAAGACTGGGCATGGGAAGAACAGTAGAGGAAACGTGGACAGAAACGAAAAAGAAGATAAACGAGGCAATACCAAAGAAGAGAGTAAGGATAAGGAAATGGAGCATAGGAGAAAAGGTGCGGTGCGACAAGGAGTGGAAAGAGAGGAAAAGGGAGATAAGAATGAAGACGACAAAATTTAGGGAAAGAAAATGCAGTAGAGAAGAGTTCATAGAGGAGAAGAAGGCATCTAAACAATAGTGTAAACAAAAAAAGGAGAAGCAGGAAGAGGAAGAATTGGAGAAAATCAACAAGATCAAAACAGAGCAAAAAGCCTAGAAATATATAAATAAATATAGAAGAAGAAGAGAGGTTATAGACGAAAATATAAGTTAAGAGGAGTGGAAAAATTATTTTATGGAAATGTTAGAAGGGACAGAAAACAAAGAAGACAGAAGAACAGAAGGGCGGAGAGTGGAGGAGGAATTAAAGGAGGAGAGGGAAGACAATATAGAAAAGGAAGAGGTGATATTCCAAATAAGAAACTTGAAGAAAAAAAAGCAACGGGGGGAGATGGTTTGGAAAACGAGGTATGCGCCGAAGGAAGTGGGGGAGGCGTTATGGGAGATGTTAAGGAAAATATGGAATGGAGAGGGGATACCTGGAGACTGGAGAAAAAGCGTAATATATCCGATTTACAAGAGGGGAGACAAGGGAGCAGTGAAGAGCTACAGAGGAATCACGTTAATGGACACAGAATATAAGATTTATGCAGGAATACTGGACGAGCAGCTGAAGGCGGAGATCGAAGAGAAGCTTTTTCTTTTTTATTAACGTGGAGGAAATCCGCACGGACACTAGGTCCGTTTCTGGGGAAAAGCGGCGTGGTAGTGCCGGACTCCAACCGACTAAAACCTCCACGATGACCGTCCCGGCTACGATCGAAAGGGGCCGGTGTGAGCGATACAACCCCCCCCCCCCCCCCCCCCCCCCCCCCGCCCCCCCCCCCCGCACCCCACCCCCGCCCCCCGCCGCCCGGCCCGCCGCCCCGCGCGTGCCAAGCTGGGAGAGAGCCAATTCGGGTTTAGGAAAGGAAGAAGAGTGATAGACGCAGTGTATATATTGAACCACGTAATAGACAAACAATTGAGCGGAGAAAGATGGAAACAATATGCATGCTTCGCGGATTTAAAGGCAGCATTTGATAGGGTTAGCAGGAAAAAGCTGGGGGAGATAATAAGGAGAATGGGGGTTAACGAGAAGTTAATCAGAAGGATAGAGGAGATATACGAAGAAACAAGGAACGTAGTGAGGACCAGGAACCATAACACAAAAGAGTTTTGGACAGTGAGGGGATTAAGACAAGGGTGCCCGTTGAGCCCAACACTATTTAACATCTATATGGCAGGGCTGGAAGAGAAAATAAGGAAAGGTCAAGTAGGAAGCATAGTGGTAGGAGACAGAAAAGTATGATCACTATCATATGCAGATGATATTGTATTGAAGGCGGACAAAGAAGAGGAATTAAAGGAAATGCTGAAGAGATTTAAAACATTCCTAGAGGAAGCGGAACTGGAATTAAGCACGGAAAAGACTAAAGTAGTAGTGCTTGAAAAGAGAAGGAACAATAGGAGACAAAGAAAATGGAGATGGGATGAGCAAGAACTAGAAGAAGTGGACGAGATAAGATATTTAGGGTACATACTGCAGAAAAATGGAAGTGATGAGAAGCATATTCAAGACAGAAAAAAGAATGCAACAATAGCGATGAAAAAGACATGCAGCGTAGGAGAAAGGATATTTAAGTGGGACTACAAGAGGAGAATGAGGATGTTTGGAGCACTGGTAGAGAGTGTGGTGCTGTTTGAAGCGGAGGTGTGGGGATGGAACATAGAAGAGAGATTAGACAGAATATAAAGGAGATATGTGAAATGGATTCTAGGCTTGGACATAACAACGCCGAATTACATTTTGATAGAGGAGTGCAAGATAGAGGAAATAAGAGAGAAGGCACTGAAAAGAGCAGTGATATATGAGGAGAAAGCCTTAGAATCAAAGAAGGAATTAGTAAAGGAGTGTATAAAGGAGAGAGAAAGGAATTGGGGAAAGGGTCAAGAAGGGAAAAGGGCAAGAAAAAGAAAGAAGGGGTTAGAGGAGGTGGAGGCTCTGCGGTGAAGAGAAAGCAGGAGGAGGAGAGTTTAGCGTGGAAGATTGCCGATGAAGATGGGTACGCATAAGTAGAGGCCAACCCGAAGTAATGTCGAATGATTGTACCGGGTTGTCACCTCGAGTACCTCCCAGTGAACAGGAGGAGGAGTTTTTAGTGGGTACGGCGACGCCATCTGCTCCCATATAACTCAGTGACGCGGGTCACTGGGTATACGAAACAGCATTTTCCCCTCCTCGCGCAAAAAAAAAAGAGGAAGGGAGCTCAGCAAGGAAATAAAAGCCAAAGACGGAAAGAGCACTTAGTTATAAGTGTTAGTTATAAGTTATTACATACAGATAGATTAAGTAAGGTGCAATCGTTCAGTATAAGCAGTTGTATATAGTTATAGAAGAGCTAGTGTAAGAGATTTATAAATGATGTAATGGAATTATATAAGAGATGTAAACCGAAAATCGTCCAAAGCCGAAAGGTATGGACTAAGTATAAATAAATAAAATAAATAAATAACAAAGGTAATGTCAATAATCAAACTTTTTTGTTTATTCCTAAAACTGAAAAGGTAAAGACAGTGTTGATGGTCGCAGGCATGCTGACACCTCCAGCTTTTATGTTCTGATTCTTTTTGTATTTCGCCCTGTGATTCTGGGAGCCGATCGTGGTCTGTCACATGTTGAAAACAAAGGTAATGTCAATAATTAAATTTTTTTTGTCTATTCCTAAAACTGAAAAGGTAGGGACAGTGTTGATGGTCGCAGGCCTGCTGACACCTCCAGCTTTTAAAACCTGATCCTTTTTATATTTCATCTTGTGATTCTGGAAGCAGATCGTGATCTGTCAGAGGTGGAAAACAAAGGTAAAGTCAATAATTAAACTTTTTTTTCTATTCCTAAAGCTGAAGACGTATGTTCTATTTAGTGAATGTGTATAAGAAGTCGAATTAAAAATTATAGCTTAGATTCAAAAATTAGATTTTTTGGAATTTTCACAAATTCATAGTAGAATTGCCGCGTAGAGTTTTTTTCTATTTGAATTTTCGCAATTACAACATGGCTGGAATATAACTTTTAGCTGAATACTTTAAAGTTTGTATTTACAAACTAACTACCCCTTTAGGTTAACACTTTTCATTTAAACGAACTGTTCGTGTAATTTCAATGAATCGAGAAGGTTCAAGGATCGTCCAGTATAGGAAACTGGTCAGCTTAGACAGTTTAAGTGCGACTCAAGGGCCGAATATTGAAGCATAAATTTATAGGCAAATACAATTTGTCAACGATGCACATAAAACAAAGAGACTTGCCAATGCGTCTAACTTGCGAAGCTCACAGGTGACAATATATAAATCGATGATTGATAAAGAACGCAAGCTGACACTGTCAGGGAAATCGTGAAGTATAGAAATAATCAACGAGGAATGCCCTATGAAGATAAAACCACTCTAGAAATTATCACTTTTTATTCAGTACATAATTAATCGTAGTCAATATAAGTCCGCAGCCGGCGAGTGGTTTGTGTTAGCGGCATTGCGGAGGAGTTGTTACCCCGTCTGTTCATTTTCATATCGCATAATGGGTAAATTATAGTTTGATCACGTATGCGGTAAACCGTTATTGAAATCATAGTAAAATGCACGTTCTTTATGTTTGAAATTTGGGCTATATTATCAGTTTACTAAAGAGGGTATTATTTTCGGACGATCGTGGTGAAATCTGCCACCGAAGTCAGTGCCAAGATGAATCACGATTTGATATGGCATCTGACTGCCGCAAACTGTTTGCGTAATTTCATTTATTGTTTTCGCAAACAAACTGTATGTGCGTCCGTTTTAATCGACGCAAACTTGACACCTAGTTGTCGCTAAAACGTACGTCTCATGTGAACTGCTTTATACTGAATGCACACCAGTAACATTTCATCCGCGCGATCCCGTTGTGACCATTTGTACGTAACATGCAAAATTGTGTTTATTAGATACAAGTTGCTAAAAAAGATTAGAACTTCCACGTCGCGAAGAATATTCCGTAAGCAGTCACATGGAAACAGCTATTACTGATATACGGAAACAATCTTTTGTTTCTTTTTCCTCCTCTACCCCTGCTGAGTTTCATAAAGATGATCCAGTTAGGTGGCTATACCGGAAGATAGTGATAACGTTCATGAATTTTATTAACCTTTCATATATGAAGATGAAAGATTTACTATTTTGGGTTGTAATCTTTTGGATAGTTATTTTCGGTAACTGAACACTGGTAGATATATAGATCCTTAATGTGAATGACATTTATGAATTAAAGATTCAAAGTTCTTAATAAACTTTATTAACGTAACTATTATGTTATTTTGAAAAACATTAGATCTTAAAAGTGTGTTTACTTGTATTGTATAAGCACCATAATATTAATATCTATTTACTACTATCTCTTAAATTATTTTAGCAATTAAATAAAGCGTTATTCAAACTCCTTAATGCATTGTGGCGGCAGTCGACAGTAAACTTTCTCACAGTTTCTGTCCCGTGGCGCACGACACATTGACCCTATACCTGCGGACAAGTTGATTGCCAGATGTCGATACATTCGTACCTAATATTTCCAGCTAGCCTAAGGACCGCTATAAATCTTAGGATTTATTTTAGCTAAGGTCCTCCAAAGAGACAAACAGTCTTTGTTTATCAGTCTCGAAGTCGACCACCTATCACGGGGACACACGAGAAATCTGCTATCTCTCACGCACGATGCTTCCCGCTAGCAACACCCTCTCAGGGGCAGGTAACACCCTTTTCCAACGACCAACACGAATCAGCCAATAAACATTAACGTACATTTGCCTCACTTCCCTAACCAAAGCTTTTCTCAACGAATCCGATGATCTCGCATCCTTAGACACACCCCAACACAGTTTTCCTTCCCAGCATCATCGTGACGGAAAGTCAGTCTGTTACACAGGGTCAACAGACAACGGTCGTTACAATTGCACGGTTCGAGTCAACTAACTATCTAAGCCTTCGACATCTCGCACAATCATTGTCCGCACTCGTAGTGCATATCGAATCCTAGCTATCCGAGCTCGAACTTGTAACCGCGCACCGCGAACCGAATATAACCGCGAGTCTTGCGCCAAGTGTACTCATCAAACATTACAGTTAATAAACATTTATCGTTCAATAAATCTGAGTTTTCCTTCCGACCCTATCACAACATATCCCCTCAAATATAATTATCTTCTTCATACATGATTTCTCGTTATATACTTTCGATTTTGTGTGTTTTATTTTATGTTGCATATTAATAATAATCTATATGTTCTTTATGATTTTTTGCATTCGTTACGTTCACGTACCACTTCGGTTCCGTGCCTTCAAATCCAATATCTCGGCTATTTTACGGTTACTTCTATTCTTTAACTATAGTATTCTGTTTATTAGTTGACTTTCATTATCGTATAAATGACGTTCGAGCCTCCATTTGCATTTACTCCCTACTCTACTAAATCTTCCCGTAACCAATGACTAGCTCTCATCTTTATTTTATTATACTGTGGGAAGTGCCTACTTATTCAAATACCTGTGTCTATAATAATTTACCTGTTCGTATGATCTAAAACACAACTTGGACGTCTCGAACATTGCTGTCCTTTTGGACAGTGCCGCTACCGCCCGTTGTCAAGAAGGTAATTTTCGATGATTTAATTGAAAAAAACAAATTTGTTTAAAAAAAGAATAAAGACTAATGAGTAACGTTTTACATGGAATTAATTAATTTCCTCATGTAGTGTTTCAGCCGCGGCTCTTCACTCGCTATCCTAGCCAAGTTCGGATAATTTGATGTGTCAGCTTATAAAATATTAAGACGAAAAACTAATCAGCGTAATTTTTCGGCTATCACCCTTGTCCAATAACATATATTTTCCTTTACTCCAGCTTTATCGCCATTCTCCTCTGTTTAACTTTTCTCCTTCTCGGTTTTCCTTCCTTATAGAATCACCCAGTCTCCTTCCCCGTTGAGAGTTTTTTGCAGGCTCGCACCATTGGTTTTCCAACCGCCCCACCCTTCATTCTATACGACCATCTTAGATACTGTTGCTATCCATTCCTTCTCCTCATCGGTGAATGAACGCTTTCTTCTCCCACATTTAACCGTTTAATAAGCAAAAATCATTGCTCGATGGGGGAAAAATACCACGTTCTGATTATAGGGATTCGACTAAATGGATATAACGAGAAAAATCTAATTTGCTACTGTTTTTCTTTCATTAATTACTTTTTTAGAAGCTACACCAAATTTCTATGCATTTATGCGAGTTTCTATGCATTTATGGGAAATATGGAGATGCAAAAATGCAGATAATGCACATAACGTGTAAAAGTATATAATGAAATCATGAGCGTGAAATACAATACGAGATGTACACATATAAAGATGTAAAGCGCAAAACATCTAGAGGGGAAGAATAATGGAGACAACCAAGGATTAATCGTGAGAATAGGGTATGGAAACTGAAGAGAGGAACCGATACTGATTAAAGGTTAAAAGAGAAAATTCATCCTTTGTAAAATAGAAATAGGTAAATTAAAATATTTATTAGAGAATTGATGAGAGATAGTGCCTTGCGTATTGAGCGAGGAGAAAATAATGGAAGGCAGAAGAAATAAGGCAGTAGTAAATGGCTAAGATCAATAGAAACAAAGCGTAAGATTATAAGGAATAATCTAATTATCTTAAATGTAAGCGTGTGATATCGTATTATAAATTTATTTATCATTTATTATTTTATTTATTTATTATAGATTTCACAGGTACATATGTGTCAAGAGAAGAATGTGCGAATTTCAGAAAATATTGTAAAGCTAAGTCCATTTCCGGACTTTAAGACCAAAACTAAATAAAATAACGATATTTATACATAATAATGTAATATCGTAAAGTAATTTGAATTAGAGGTCGGTTGAAATTAGAAAAAACCGTGTACG